TTGGTACGATTTCAATTTTTAAAAATATTATTGAGATTTGCTTTATAGCTTTGCATGCAGTTGATCTTGGACATGTTCCCTGTATGGATGAGAAGATTGTACATTCTGTGGCTGATGGGTGGAGTATTCTGTAGATGTCTATTAGGTCCAATTGTTCAAGTGTCAAGTTTAAGTCCAGAGTTTTTTTTAAGTTTTCTACCATGATGATTTTTTACGGCTGACTGTAGGGTGTTAAAGTTCCCCTACTATTATTGTGTTCCTAAGCCTTTTCATAGATGTAGAAGTGCTTATATTTTGAATCTGAGTGCTCTAATATTGGGTACATCTATATTTATGATAGGAAAGTCTTCTTGTTGAATGGAACCTTTTATCATTATGCCACGGTCTTCTTTTTCCTTTATTTATTCCTGTTGCTGGTTTAAAGCTTGTTTTATCTGATACAAGTATAGCAATCCCTGCTCTTTTCTTGTTTTATGTTTGCATGGTAGGTCTTCCTCCAACCCTTTACTTTGAGTCTGTGTGTTTCATTACATGTGCAATGGGTCTCTTAAAGACAGCAGATTGATGAGTGTTTTTAAAAATGCAACCTGACACTCTGTGCCTTTTAAGTAGGGCATTTAGAATTTTTAATTTCAAGATTAATATTAATATGTGAAGTTTTGATCTTATTGTAAAGTTTTTAGCTGGCTGCTTTGTGGCTTCTATTGTGTGATTGCCTTACACCGTCTGTGGGTTATGCACTTCAGTGTGTTCTATTTCTTCTTCTTCTTCTTTTTTTTTTTTTTTTTTTTTTGAGACAGAATTTCGCTTTCTTGTCCAGGCTAAGGTGCAGTGGTGTGATCTTGGCTCACTGCAACCTCTGCTTCCAGGGTTCAAGTAATTCTTATGCCTCAGCTTCCTGAGTAGCTGGGATTGCAGGTGCCCATCACTACCACCAGCTGATTTTTTGTATTTTAGTAGAAATGGGGTTTCATCATCTTGCCCAGGCTGGTCTCAAACTCCTGAGCTCAGGCAATCCACCTGTCTCGGTCTCCCAAAATGCTAGGATTATAAGCGTGAGCCACCATGCCCGGCCGTTCAGTGTATTTTCTTTTGTGGCAGGTGCTGTTATTCCATCTCAATGTTTAGAATTCCCTTAAGGATCTCTTTTATGGTTTGTCTACTGGTTACGCATTCCCTTAGTGCTTGCTTGTCTGCAAAAAAATGTATTTCTCCTTCATGTATGAAGCTTAGTTGACAGCATATGAAATTCTTAGTTTAAATTTATTTTCTTTAAACATGCTGAGAATAGGTTCCCAGTTGCTCCTGGCTTATAAGGTTTCTGCTAAGAAGTCTGATGTTAGTTTGTTGGGACTCCCTTCATGCGTGATCTATCCTTTATTTTTTCAGAACTAAGCTTGGGCAGTATGGGGAGCATATACCTTGGTTATGTTCATTCTGTATAATATCTCATTGGTGTTCCCTGCATTTCTTGTATCTGAATGTTTGCCTCTGTAGCAAGATTAGAGTACTTTATTCAAGTATTTTTTAGAATATGTTTTCCAGGTTGTTTGCTGTTTCTCCTTCTCTCTCAGGAATGCCAATAATTTATAGGTTTGATTACTTTACATAATACCATATTTCTCAAATACTTTGTTGATTAAAAAAAAAAGTTGGCCGGGCGCGGTGGCTCAAGCCTGTAATCCCAGCACTTTGGGAGGCAGAGGCGGGTGGATCACGAGGTCAAGAGATCGAGACCATCCTAGTCAACATGGTGAAACCCTGTCTCTACTAAAAATACAAAAAATTAGCTGGGCATGGTGGCGTGTGCCTGTAATCCCAGCTACTCAGGAGGCTGAGGCAGGAGAATTGCCTGAACCCAGGAGGCGGAGGTTGCGGTGAGCCGAGATCGCGCCATTGCACTCCAGCCTGGGTAACAAGAGCGAAAATCCGTCTCAAAAAAAAAAAAAAAAAAAAAAAAAAAAAAAAAAAAAAAAAAGTTATCCTTATTTTTATCTGACTGGGTTATTTGTAAAGACCAGTCTTGAAGCTCTGAAATTCTTTGTTCTGTTTGGTTCAGTCTATTGCTAAAGCTTCCAATTGTATTTTGAAGTACCTTATGTGAGTTGTTCAATTCCAGAAGCTCTGACTGATTTCTTTTTAAGATGTTTATCTCTTTCCTAATCTCCTGGATTGCTTTAGATGTTTCATTGTGTTGATTTTCAACCAAGTCTTGGATCTCATTGAGCTTCCTTACAATCTATGTTTTGAATTCATTATCTGTCATGTCTGAGTTTCTATTTTGGTTAGGGACCCTTGATGGAGAGCTAGTGAAATTCTTTGTGGTGTCATCACACTCAGAATGTTCATGGTGCCGGAATTTTTACACTGGGTACTTCTCATCTGAAGATGATGGCACATCTACTTTTTGTAGTTATTTTCATGTGGGTAAATTTTTATTTTTTTTTTAATCTTTCTTTCTCTATACTATTTTTTTCTTCCTCTTTATTGTCTCTTCCTACCAAGAGTTGTGTTTGTAGAGAATTCTGGGTAGGACATTTTGGCTTTGCCTCTATAGCCTTATGATTTTTTTAAACTGTATTCTTCTGTAACTTTTCATATAGGGCATGTAATTGATACGTTTAAAAGTCAGTTTTTCTCTTCCACTTTCTCCACATCTGCTATTCAGCAAATAAGTTAGATCAAGATTTGCTCAGTGGAATTTGTCATCTCGTGTAGCGGAAGAGAAAGGCAAAATCCAGGCAAATAGTCTGTGACCTAGTATCAACACTTATCAGAATACTACATGGGGTGGAGAGAAGGAGTTCATGTATTGTTTTTTCTAAGCCATAAACTAAGTAGTAAATTGATCCCATTTGAAAATTATTTCCTTTGGGCATTGTTTCTTTTTGTCAACAACCTCAAATGGAGATAGTGACAGTAGTAGGATTTATCATAATAGCAACAAAAAATGAACAAACAACTACAACACACTTAAAAACCTCCTACCCACTTCCAAACAGTAAGTATTTTAAATACTTTTCTGTGTATAAAATAGTTCAGAGTTCAATAGAATATGCTTCAGATTTTACCTATATTCCTCAAAAAGTTCAGATGATACCTAAGCTCCAATTTTTACATTACATTGGCATAATTTGAATGCAAATAATTTTGCGACTCAATAAAATAAATTATGTACCAAGCAGCAAAAAGATTTTAATTTTAATAACGAGAAATTTTCACTGTCTTCAAAATTCTATAAGGGTTTTACCATTTATGAAAAGGTTTCGCTTGTGTGGTTGCACAAAAAAGAATTTTGTGATCACATTTTCTTTTCAAAAAATATGATACACCTGTAAAAGACCAAATACATGAGACATATTTAATTTTACTATTGAGAAGAAATATTTTTACTCTTGTCACTTTCTGCAGAGTCAAAAATAATCATAAACATAAGAGTAGGCAAAAGTCCTCTTAGAAATGTTATCTCAAATAACTGAAAGAGGGCATGACATCTGAATAAACATTTTCCTGTCTTTCTCATTATGGCACACTGGTATGTATTGAATTTTTACAATTAGATTTTTGTTTCCTTTTGGGTAGACATAATGCTGATATCAATAATGTGTATATTTGCCAGAGACAGAAGAAAAATAACAGATAATTATTTTTTATTGTCAGGTGAATTATTGCAATATAACAACCAGATTACTTGTGTGAAAGTGACATATCCTTAGAAGAAAAATATATTTCTCACAGCAAAAAACTTTTCTTTTTCTTTCTTTCACACCCATTGTATTATTTCCTGTATAAATGCAATTTTAATGCTGTATTTTTAAACTGGTAGAAAAAATACTGCAAAAGACAGTCCTATTTCTACCCATTGTATACTTAGGAAATAATATAATTCATTTTCTGTTATTTATACCTCCAACAACAATGAAAATAGTTATGAGCATTAAAATATAATTGTTTTTATTCACTTTTCTTCTACTTAAGTTCAACTGTTACAGTTTAGTTCTCACAATTTAGTTGCTGCATCACCAGGCTTAACCAAATGGTCTTTACCATGTTACTTAGAGACTATATACACACCATTATCATAAGATTTGTTGAATTATCAGTCTTATTTACTAAAATTAAAACTGGAAGGTAATGTGTGATTGCTTATTCTTATTAAGTGCATTATTTGGAAATAGGAGAGGCATTCAAAAAATTTCATTGAACAGTACTACACCAAAAAGTTTTTTCATATTTTCTTTTCAATGTTAATTTTATTATTTTTCCAAGTGGACATTTGACATAGTAAAAGGAATAAAATAATTACATACATATATATAATACATATATAAATGATATATATAACATGCATATATGATATTATATGCATTATATTTATGTACCATATATGTGTGCATATGCATTATATATATGCATCATAGATGCAGTATTACATATATATTATATATGTTTAATCATTTTATCTACATTCCCCAGTTTCTCCAAAAGTCAAGTGATATAAACTGGGCACTGGTTTCTAAGAGTCTGTGCAATGCAGGCCCGTTATAAGACAAGTTGGCTGGGTAACAACTCAAAATAGTTTCAGCCAAAGAAGAAACCTAATGAGTTACTGAAAACATGGGTGGTTTTGTTTTAATAGGATGCATTAAGAGACTGTACACAATATTTCAGACACTCTTACTATCTTTAATCTGTGCTATTCCTATATTCTCATTGCCCCATTTTAGAGATCAATAAGAGGGTGCAGCTTGGATGAAGGAAAAGTGACTGCAGGCCTCTCCAGACATTTTTTTTAAAGGGAGATGTGGCTACCAGTTGCCCGGCTTTCCTTATTGTGTGGTATCATAGACATATTATGGTTGTTTTTAAATTTTATATAAATGGAATCATAGACATTATTTTGTCTTTTTCCTAAGTAATATGCTTTTTAAATGGACCTACGCTCTTGCATAGAATATGTATGTTAATTTTTACTCCTATATGCTTATATTAGTCTGTCCTCACACTGCTGATAAAAACATACCTGAAACTGGGCAATTTACAAAAGAAAGAGACTTAACAGACTTCCAGTTCCACATGGTTGTGGAGGCCTCACATTATGGTGGAAGGCAAAGAGGGGCAAATCATGCCTTACATGGATGGCAGCAAGCAAAGAGAGAGAGAGCTTTTGCAGGGAAACTCCTCCTTATAGAACCATCACATCTTGTGAGATGTATTCACTATCATGAGAACAGCACAGAAAAGACCTGCCGCCATAATTCAAGGGTCTCCCCCAGGTCCCTCCCACAACAGTGAGAATTCAAGATGAGATTTGGGTGAGTACAGTGGCAAACCATAGCATTCTACCCCAGCCCCATCCAAATCTCATTCCATCACATTTCAAAACCACTCGTGCCTTCCCAATAGTCCCCCAAAGTCTTAACTCATTTCAGCATTAACTCAGAAGTCCATAGTCCAACATCCATCTGAGACAAGGCAAGTCCCTTCAGCCTATGAGCCTGTAAAGTCAAAAGCAATTTAGTTACTTCCCAGATACAATGGGGATATAGGTGTTTGGTAAATACAGCCATTTCAAATGGGAGATGTTGGCTACAGGCCAACAGGGAGCTATAGGCCCCATGCAAGTTTGAAATTCTGCAGGACAGTCAAATAGTAAAGCTCCAGAATGGTCTCCTTTGATTCCATGTCTCACATCCAGATCATGCTGATGCAAGAGGTGAGTTCCCATGGTCTTGGGCAGCTCCACCCCTGTAGCTTTACAGGGAACAGTGTCCGTCTTGGCTGCTTTCATAGGCTGGCGTTGAGTGTCAGAGGCTTTTCCAGGCACATGGTGCAAGCTGTCAATGGAGCTACTATTCTGGAGTATGGAGAATGGTGGCCCTCTTCTCACCACTCCACTAGGCAATGCCTCAGTAGGGACTCTGTGTGAAGGACTCCATCCCCCATTTCTCTTCCATACTGCCCTAGCAGAGGTTCTCCATAAGGGTCCCACCCCTGCAGCAAATTTCTGCCTTGGCATTCAGGTATTTACAAACATCTTCTGAAATCTAGGTGGAGGTTCCCAATGCCCAAGTCTTGACTTCTGTGCACTCATAGGCTCAGCACCATGTGGAAGCTGCCAAGGTTTAGGGCTTGAACTTTCTGCAGCCATGGCCCATGCTCTGCATTGGCCCCTTTCAGTCATGGCTGCAGCAGCTGGGATGCAGGTTACCAAGTCCCTAGCCTGCACACAGCATGCAGACCCTGGGCCCAGCCCAAGAAACCATTTTACCTCCTAGGCCTTTGAGTCTGTGATGGGAGGGGCTGCCGTGAAGTCCTCTGACATGCCTTTGAGACATTTTCCCTATTGTCTTGGGGATGAACATTCAACTCCTTGTTACTTATGCAAATTTTTGCAGACAGCTTGAATTTCTTCTCAGAAAATAGTATTTTCTTTTCTACAGCATCTTCAAGTTCCAGGTTTTCAAACTTTTATGCTCTGCTTCCCTTATGAAACTGAATGCCTTTAACAGTACCCAAGTACATCTTGAATATTTTGCTGCTTAAAAATGTATTCTGCCAGATGCCCTAAATCATCTCTGTCAAGTTTATAGTTCCACAAATCTGTAGGGTAGGGGCCAAATGTCCCCAGTCTCTTTGCTAAAACATAACAAGAGTCACTTGTGCTCCAGTTCCCAACAAGTTCCTCATCTCCATCTGACATCACCTCATCCTAGATTTCATTGTCAATATCATTATCAGCATTCTGGTCAAAGCCATTTAACAAATCTCTAGAAACTTCAACAGTTTCTAATTTTCCTGTATTCTTCTGAGCCCTCCAAACGGTTCCAACTTCTGCCTGTTACCCAGTTCCAAAGTCCCTTCCACATTTTCAGGTAACTTTTCAGCAGTGCCCCACTCTGTTGGTAGCAGTTTAACATATTAACATGTTCTCATTCTCCTGATAAAGATGTACCCAAGACTGGGCAATTTACAAAAGAAAAAGGTTTAATAGACATAGTTCCAATGGCTGGGGAGGCCTCACAATTATGATGGAAGGCAAGGAGGAGCAAGTCTCATCCTACATAGATGCAGCAGGCAAAGAGCTTGTGCAGAGAAACTCCCTCTTAAGGAACCATCAGATCTTGTGAGACGTACTCATTATCATGAGAAGAGCATAGGAAAGACCTGCCTTCATGATTCAGTTACCTCCCAAAAGGTCCATCCACAACATGTGGGAATTCAAGATGGAAGTTGGATGCGGACATGACCAAACCATATCAAATATCAATGTTATAACATTATATCAGTATTCTGCATTATATTTATGCTTTTCAGTTTGATACATTAGGTAGTTCCCAAATTTAGAATATTATGAAAAGCATTGTTATTAGTATAGCATTACTTTTTTTGGTGTGGTGTGGTATACATGAAGACACCCCACCTAGATCACTCTTCAAAGAATACATCTATGCAAAGCTTCAGAGAACGCAGTCATTGAACAGACTCCAGTTGTCGATTCCTTCAAGATCTTCCTTTAGTGCAGAAAGTCACCTTGCCCAAAGCTCTGAAAGTTAGAAAATTTGGTTTGATGTGGTTCAAAGATGATGAGCAATTTCATCCCAGACATTCCCTCTGGGTCACAGAGGCTTTCTTGGTCCTGCAGTTTGTCAAATCTTGCTTGCTTTGTTCCTTTGTCTCTTACTGATGTTGATTCTTGAAAAGTATCCTGCACTCAAAGCTCTGACACACTTCCTGGAGTGGTCCCAGGAAGGAAGGAATAAAATTTGGTGTGCCATACTCCAGGGTGAACTGGATCAAAAGAAACAAATCAAAGGATGGAAGCGAGAGTTTGTTGAATCATATAACTTTTTATAATGCTATATAATCAATAAAAAGAATACCTGGGTCAGGAAACCAAGAGATAAAAGCAGAAGGAGTCCCTGTAAGCAACACTCTCAATGATGTGTTGGGGAATTTATGCTTTCCATCTCTGCAACCCTGGGATATACAGGGATAGAGTTTCATATCCTCAAATGCAGCACACTTCTACTGGAGACATAAGGAAATCAATTGAACTATAAATTATGGTTGCTCCCTAGGCATTTGGAATCTTTTGTTTTGTTTTGTTTTGTTTTGTTTTAACAACAACCAAAACCAGAAAATTGAGTGGTAATTTTCAGTGGACTTCTGTTACACCAAAGGGCAAGGAGAAATCCATGTGTAACTCACATGATCCATTTGAGCCCATTACTATTTCTTTGCCCACTGTGGTTTACACAAACAGATACAAAGGCTTTGGTCTAAGAAGGTCATGGAGATCAGAAACTCAAACCTCTCAAGGATGTAGGCCTCACCTCCAGGTAAACCACTGAGGTCAAGCAGAGCTATTTGCTGATTGAAGAGATATACAATTGTTAATGGCAGGAGGAGAAAATGTGTGTCAATTGTGGCCCTGACATTAACTGCTTCAGTTAGTTTCTTTTCTCTCAATTTTCCTCAGAAGAAAAAGAAATGCAAGTAGGAGTCCTGGAGAAGCTTTTCCCTGAAAATGTATAGGAGAACTTATACTACAAGAGATCAACTGCTATAGGCAAGAAGACATGCCACTCAGCTCTCCTGTCAGTAACATTCTTTGCTGGCTCCTGGAATCTCTCTTCCTTTCATTTCTTTATCCATTTATCTATTCTCACACTGATTCCATAGTATGGTATTTGTGTATTAAAATAAGATGTGAGTTTTAGTAATGGAAGTTCTCCAGGTTTGTTATACCCTTTTAAGGTTATTGGGGCTATTTTGGACCCTTATATTTCCATATAAGTTTTAGAGAAAGTTTACCAGTGTATGTACATTAAAACAAACTCTGAGGAAATATTTTGTGAGGTGGTTGTGGGATTGCATGAATTTATAAGCATATTTTGGAATAAATGTTGTCTTCAAATCTATATTTATGTATAGGGCTCATAGACTTATTTATGCATGAGCATCTCTCAGAAGTATGTTGTACTTTTCATCAGAGAAATTGTTCATATCTTTTGTTAGACATATTCATAAGTAATTAATTTTTCATATGGTTGTAAATGATATCATTTATAATTTTATTTTCTATAACTTTCTGAGATTTACAAATACAATTGATTTACTTTGTATTGCTCTTGTCTTTTCCAATATTATATTCATTTATTAAATCCTAATGTTTGTATAGTGTACTAGTTCATTCTCTAACTGCTATAAGATACCCAAGACAGGGTAATTTATAAAGAAGAGAGGTTTAATTGACTCGCAGTTCCACATGGCTAGGGAGTCCTCGGGAAACTTACATTCATGACAGTAAGCACCTCTTCACAGGGCTGTAGGCAAGGGAATGAGTGGAAGCAGGGGAAATTCCAGATACTTATAAAACCATCAGATCTCATGAGACTCACTCATTATCAAGAGAATGGCATAGGGGAACCTGATCTCATGATTCAGTTACCTCACCTGGTCCTGCCCTTGACATGTGGGGACTACAATTCAAGGTGAGATTTGGGTGGAAACATAGAACCGAACCACATCATATAGAATTTTTGGATTATTTTTATTCATATTATTTGGAATGAGGAAACACGTTTGTGATGTTTCTGAATATATTATATATCAAATTTTGGGGGTATTTTTGTGTTGTGCTATATTAGATCACTGGCACAAATTTGAACAGAAGTGGTGAATGTTGGTATCAATGTATTTGTAGTCATAATTCATGATAGTTTTCTGTATAGATGCATTAAAAATGACATTTTATTTTTTTAGTATCTTTGCTTTAAAAAGTTAATATTTGTTAAATTTTATCAAATGTTTTAACACATCTATAATCATACATATTTAATTTCTTATGTTGTGATGTAGAAAGATTAATTTTAATTCTACACTGTCTTTGCATTCATGATTTATAAAACAGACATCTGTAATTTAATAGTAATCTTATTTGTTTCTGGATTTTTATTTGCTAATGTTTTGTTTAATTTGTTTTTATGTGTATACATATACTCTGTGCTCTTGTCAGATTTTGTTATCATGGTTCTACTGGCTTCACAAAAATAACTTTTAAATATTTTCTCTGTTTCTTAATTTTAGAAGAATATGTGTAAAGTTGCTGTTATTTTGGCTTTAGCTATTAGGAAAAAATCACTGATCAGTTAATCTGGTTGTGGGATTTTGGAGGGGAAGATATTTACAATGGGTTCAATTTCTTTAACTGGCATGATATAAGTTACGAGTACTTTTAAGTTGTCACACATTAAAAAGAACACAGAACATAGGCACTATGAAGACTGTGACAGCATCACTGGCTTATCAGCCTCCTAAACTCTGGCATCACTGAACATGTCATTCCTTTAGATTTAGTGGCCCTTACCTGTAATTCCAGCATTTTGGGAGGCTGAGCCAGGCAGATTGCTTGAGCCCCAGAATTTGAGATCGGCTCGGGCAACATGGTTAAACCTTGTCTCTGCTGAAATAAAAGAATAAATGAATAAATACAGAAAAATTAGCCAGGCATACTGGCATGCACATGTAGTCCCAGCTACTCAGGAGGCTATGGATTGTTTGAGCTTAGGAGGTGGAATTTGTAATGAGCTAAGATTACACCACTTCACCCTACCCTTGGCGAAAGAGATATACCTTGTCTCAAAAAAAATTCTAATTTTTCAGTTTTCTTGTTTATCAAATACCAAGAGTTAGAATTGAGAATATTTATAGGATTTTAAAATGAAAATATGATAGTGAGTTGAATGATACATCTCACCATGTGTGTTCAACTGAAACCTCTTACTTAGAATGAGAGTCTTTGCAGATATAATAAAGGATCTGAAGAAAAGTTTATCCAAGATTTAACCAGACCCTAAATCTAATGATGAGTTTCCTCATAAGATACAGAAAAGAAGACAAACATATAGAGAGAACAAGGGAATGTGAGGATGGATGCAGAAATTGTAGCAATGTGTCTCAGCTAGGGAATGCTACACATTCCAGGAAACTACCAGAAAGTAGGAGAGAGGCATGCACAGATTATCCCTCAAAACCACCAGGAGAGAGTCACTCTTATTTCAGGAGGCATCTGACCTCCTGAACTGGGAGACAATACATTTCTATTGTCTTAAGCCACAGAGTTTTTGGTAATTTATTATAACAGCCCTAGGAAACTAAAACATGACCCTCCATGTACAGACGATAAAAGACAAAGTAACTTTAATTGTCTGGTATATTGAAAAAGTGTGATTCGTTTTTTTCCACCCAGTTGTCTTTTGACAAATCCCTAAAGGCATAATATCTGTTCTTTCCTTCCACAGAGAAACTATTTGCTTTGGAGGAGAGTTTTGTTTTCTCACAAAGAATCCGTTTAACATATAAGCCTCTGGTCCTTTTTTTAATCCACAAGAAGCTCAGAAGATGATTTTGTCATGACTAACACCCTGCAGATGAAAGAAACAAATGCCTCTTAAATTCTTATATTGTGTCTTTAAGCAATTGAAATGCCTTTGACATTTATTGACATTTACACCACAAATTGACCTATACCGCAAATTCTGTTTCCCATTCTTGATTTGATTGATTGGTAAATAAAGCCAGAGCCAATCTCTGTGCCTTTGCTTACTTAGAAGACCTCAATATAATCCTTGACCATTCACAAATAAAATAATGGTGAGGATTGAAATAATTTTTAATAGGTAATTAACCAGTTTTAAAAATTTCATTTTGCAGAATAGTCCTGGCTTCAGGCACATAGATAACTTGTTTGATTATTCATGTTACATATTGCAATTAGTTATTTTTGTTTAAATAAACCCGGTAAATTCTGCTTAATTATTTTTTTTTAAAGTGGCCTGGAAAAAAATCTTCTCTGTTTCAAAACATCTTCTCTTTATTATCTCAGAGTAGCATTAGAATGTTTGATCATTCTGCCTGTTTGTAATTCATAAACGATGATTCCACAATCATCATTTATGTGTACATACAAGTGTACAATTCTGGCATGTACACTTTTACTGACTGAAATTATATACACCCCATAGAAAAAGCAAACTTGAACCTAATGAAGCCTATGATGTTTTGAATATTTTTTGTACAATCAAGTACATGTGTATATGTTCATTTTGCTGGTCCAAGGGGTATCTGAACCTCAAAGGCAGAGAATCTCAATAATACTAGATGCAATCTGAGAACAGAAGCATAATCTTTGGTACTGAGAT